ATTTGTAATATTAAAGGCTTTGTATGGCATGGTAGGGGATGTCAAACCTATTTAACAAGTCAGCTATGGATGTCTCCAAATTGAATGGAAAGTCGCTAAAATAGCAGCCAATTTATGCGCCGTGAAGAACATTGTAAACATCCAAATTAGAGCTTCTCCACGCTGATGACTTGTAGTTACAGATAAGGAGCATCGTTATTCTAAAGTAAGTGAAGTAAAAGTGATGGTGATGTTGTTAAAACAAATACATATCTCCTTTCGATCTCACTGCCTCGTACTCAAACGTCCATTAGACCTGGGTATTGTTGAATCAGGGCGGATAGATATATCCCTAATCGATTCAGGTGGTAAAAGTACCACCGTTGTCACATAGCTGGACTATTGCTGAGTGAGGCGTTAAACAACATACAAACAAAAACACATGTTAGAGGTGTGTACACTGTGATGGGCAATATGAACACGACCGGCAATTAACGGTGAAAACAACTCGGAGGGGTCTTGTAGGCAATGAAGGCCGGGACTAAATTTGCCCCGTCGATCCAGTTAGCACCTGACCATCACGTGATGTAAACATTCTAGCTTGCAACATGAACGCTTTGAGAACAAGTATCTTATGAATATGTTCAGGATAAAAACTCCTAAATAAGTAACTACGTATATAAAAGGCTAACGACAATTAACACTTCAAAATGCTGAAGTGAACACTTGAACAAAGGCCAAGAGAACATATCCTCTTCAAAAAAAGAAACGCAAAGCCAGATCTGTTTGGAGGTAGGAAAATACATTTATACGAGGTACCGTACAAGGTATTAAGCGAAAATGTTGTGGAGAGAACACTAAAAAGGTCTTGGTGATTGTACTCATCTCAGTTATCGGTACACTGGAAAAGTCCAAGGCGAAGGTCCCCATGGAAGAGACGAGTATGCGAATTACATCCTGGGGAATGGTAGCCTCCAACGGCAAAAGCCAACTGCTGCAACGTCTGGAATTCTATCCAATTTATCCAACAGGTTCTCTTTCGGGCCAGGGGAGAACATCAACGTTGTTGTTGTGTCGACAGGCTCTTGTGATCCGTGCTGTATGCGGTCGAGCGTTGTCCTCCTGGAATACACCGTTGCCGTTGGCTCATTTGGGGAAACGTGTGGTAGGAGAATTTCGTCGATGTATCGTTGAGCCGTACGATTGCCCTGGAAATGGACCACACCTGCTCTGCCATGATGAGAGATAACCGCCCACATCATAACGCTACCCCCACCAAACCTGTCCACTTCCTGTACGCAGTTTCCGGCGTAACGTTCTCCCCGACGTCTGTAGACCCGTGCTCTTCCATCCCATCGACGGAGGAGAAATCTTGATTCGTCGCTGAACCACACATCTCTCCATCGCAGTTGTGACTATACCCTGTGTTGACGACACCAATGCAGACGAACAGGACGTCTTGCTCGTAGACCTGCTGCTCTTAAACGACGGTCTAGTCGGAGATTCTGCGCAGTCCGAGTATTTGAGGTCGCTGTGGTCGTCCTTTCACGTAGGTGGCTCAGTCGGATGTAGCAATCTTTGGCGGGGGTGGTTACTCTTGGTCGTCCCGACCTTGGCCGATCACGTATTGACCTATGATGTTGAAACCGATCCCATAGCCTTGTGATGGTGCTCTGCGCTACATGGAAACCCCTGGCTACAGCTGATCGGGATTCCCCTGCCTGCAAGCGGCCTATGACATTGTTTCTTTGCACTTCCGTTAATCTTGGCATGTTGTTGAACTGTCACTGTTCGATTGAGGCAGATGCCAGGCAATAAAAAGTCCTGCACTTCCGTTTATAGTGCTGCTGCACGTGCAGTACGTGCAACACAATGGCACGTTTTTCCGAATCCTACGTGTTTCCCAACTAAGGGTTGTCCTTGTGATTATTTCGATGCGGGAAATTTGTCACTTTAACACTATAACACATTAAACTCTTCATTTTGCAACTCTTGGTCCGCTAAGTTTGCTTTCGTTGCCAAACATATCCGTTTTGCGTTTCTTTTTTGGAAGAGTATAATAATGTCACAATCAAACACAAAGGAAACACTTATTTTCCGAAAGCTAAGTGCTCCTACATATTCTGCTTCAGATCTCTCTCGAACGCATTCTAATTTGTTAAATGAATTGACATGACCAGTCCACGATGACTTGTGAGGGAGTAATTATTTCTCTGCTATACTTACAATCAATCGCCTAAATATTACATCATCTTCATCATCATGGAACATACAGAAGCAAATTTGTCATCATTCAAAATGGTATGTAAGGACCTGCTATTTTTAGGAATATCACTTTCCCTGAACTGAAAGCTGTAACTCTCTACATTGTACATATTCCTCTGCAAACTCAGATATTTGCAAACCAAGATTTGATGATGATTGCAAAGAGGCTAGAAGCACACTAGCGAAGATGTATTTCCGCAGACATCAACTGTACATAATTTTAATCATGTTAATACAAGTGGGAAGCAAGCCGTACATTTAATCAATATAAGCGTCAGTACTGGATGACTAAGGTTTGGAACCTTATTCAGATAAGATAAATCAAAGGAAAAAGATCAAAATCTACTGTCCACCATCTTAACAATGGTAGTAAATGGTAAACACAGCGTCAAATTAGGTCCAGCAGTTCATAAAATGTCAGAAGTTTCAAGAATCCAAGACAATTAATTTTAATTCTGGTAAATGAGAAGACTACAATGAAGTGTTTCCACTACAAGAACTCTAAACTGCCTTTGTTCCAGATCATGAAACAGCAGCATACCAGATAATATTCATTAGCCTGTTCAATACAATTGGTTAGTGAAATATTCATCATTATCATCTGCCTCAAACTCCTGGCTCGTGGCTTTCACCGAAGTGGTAAACGTCTGAGACTTGCATCACTTCGGGCACAAGCTGATAATATAACTGGAATACTGTTAGAATAGGCGTTAAACACAACTCATTGACTCATACAGTCTGTCTTAAAAATGTTTTTGTCGAAATGCATTAGTCATTGCAAACCGCACCAGATCCAAACAGAAGCATTTGCCTGAATCATGTATTGGAATTGCATAGGTATGTTTGATAAAATATTTCAAGGAAATTTGCTTTTTCGCGGCATATAGTCCCAGTAGGAATAGCACAGATACGCGAAATTATCCTCCTACATCGTTAACGAGTTATGTTTGAAAAACCAAGTAATGTATGGTAAATAATCAAGCATTTGGTAGTCTCCACGTCGAGGATGAAAGCCCTTCTTTAAAACTCAGCGGTGTTTCAGAGTCCCTTTTGGTTCATTACTAAACTGCGTTCAAGTCCGTCAAGTACTGTTTATGACTTTGCTTTTTCCCCTCCACGAGGAACAGTTCCAGAAAAACCCAAGCAGGATCCACCATTCGGGATTCGGGTCAAATCCCATATCACACCTGCCAATCCTGTTATTGATAGTATCGCTCCATTCCGACTTTTGCCTACTGTTCCTTGGCCGTTAATCAAGCCAGAAGAAGACCTTTCCTCAACTAATATTACAAGATCAATTACCATAGCAACAGAAATATGTATAGTGAGGACGTAAATATGATTCTCCTTGTTTCATTTTTCTGATTTTGCCTTCAGGCAATAAGTATTTGTTCTTCAAATCATCCATTGTTACTAGATATTTAATACTGAATAATGTTCTGAATCCTATTTTGTTTGCACTGGACTTTTAAAGTCAATTAATTCCCTTGCCTCGGGAAGATGCCATTTGTACCGTCGTCAATAGTAAATTGTCAGCTGCACCAGCTTTCACGGGTGATAAGATGAAAATGAGTGTCAACCATATTGATGGTGGATAGAATTAATTTTCTGAAATAGTCATCATCATCTGTCTTAATATTTGTCGAAATACATTGACCAGTGCCCACTTGCACAAAGCGATCTTAGCGGTGAGATGATCGTAACTCCCATACTTTAACATAGGCTTACGAAAGTCTTAGAGCTAAGATAGCTTTGTGCAAGTTTACAGAAGTTTAAACATCATCTACACCATAGTATATAGTTTGTGAAGTATTTACACTGGATCCTGATTTACTAAAGCGACAATGAGACCTTTGGGACTGAATTGAAATATATGCGAGATCACGATCCTTACTATATTATACAGTGTCAACTGAGTTCACTTGTGGTAGACATAGGATCAAAGATATGACAGAAAACTCAGCACATGGAATATTTGGAGGATGGTGCAACAGACTAACGTGGTAGCTTGGCTCCGTCTCTACATGTCACTAGTTGTCGCAGCGCACATTGATCCAGGAACCAAACCGGAAGCGACAGGTTAGACCGTCGCTTATATCATTTCAAAAGGAGAGTTATTGCCCTTTGGAACAAAACGATCGCCCATTGGTGCATGTATCTGCAAGTACTTGTTGACGCCAGATTCTCACGCTGCAGTCGTTATCAGGACATAAAACAAAGGGAATTGTCAGAATGTTTGTCTTAAGACCGGCATCTTTCAGGGCTTTCCTCACACAACAAGATGGCACGCAGTGATTCGACTGAAATACTGATCAACGCGGAGTTACACCAAACTCACTCAGTCAGCAGAATGTCTGACGCCTCTACCAATACGATTTCAAGTACATTTCGGGTTCCAACTTTGAGTGAGTTGGGTTTACAGCCGTATTGAATAGATTTCCGTTATATCACGGCGTATCAGTTTGATGTGGGGGGAAATCCCGAAGTAATGCGGTTCTCAGACGTTTACCAATCTGGTGAAACCCACGAGCACGGGTATTGTGCTGACTGTTGCCTATCCAAGGGAGGCAACATCACATGGTTCAAACTTTGAGATAAAATACATGGTAACGTGTCATATGAAATGATAGTTTGCCTCAAAAGATCAAATCATCATCATCATCTTCTTGTCTATCACAAACCAGTCAAGTTTTGCAAATAGTATATTTAGTGATTTTACCTGTCAAAGCCTAACACTCAATGATTCAGAGGCACAATCAGTTGTTTCAATGTTTTAATTGCTTATTTTCAGTATATGGACACTGAGATTATAGAGTATTGGAGTACAATGATTATGAATTTAACTGAATTCGAACGCAGCTCTATATGTAAGGCGTGCCATGCAAGATCTGAATTTTTATCTTCCTTTAACTGACGTCACTCCAAAAGAAAGATACATAAATGATTGTGCAAAGATGTTCAAAGCACGTGCTGCCTCATCTTCCCGAGTCAAGGGAGTTAACTGACTAAAAAAGTCCAGTTTCCACCCTTGCCGAACTAGGCTGGTATTATGGAGTTACATTTTGGCTGGACTAACGAGTCTATGCATAGTCCAATCAAAATCGTTTATCGAAATCGAAATCCGGTTCGTAAACTGTCCTGCAGATTTCGGTCGATTGCAGGTTTTGCAAAGCATGTGCACCGCCAACTCGTTGTCAACAGATATTTTCCAAATCTGTTCATGTTTTTAATCAAGCTGTTCACGCACTGCGCGATGTAAGACTCGTTTTATCACAACATAGGCCTTGATCATCGATCACATCGTCTGGACTAGGCGCCACTGTTTTGTTTCAAGCAAATGCAAGTGATACGAGAGGTGGAATCTGATTGGTCTAAAGGAGAGGCTCAGAAGGGATATAACTCGTAATAGCCACTGGTGGCGCTACGATAGAGCCCAGGAATTCCAGCCTAGTTCGGCAAGGGTGGAAACTGGCCTTTTAAAGTCAGTTAACTCTCTTGCCTCGGGAAGATGGTGCTACCTTAGTGTACCTAGGAATGTTAAGGCCGAAATGTCAAGGGTGATACAAGTTAACACAGAAGTATTCCTGCCCGTCTCATCCAGGTGCGATTATACTGACATTCTCGTGTCAGATATTAGGAGAGACGATTTTGTCAAAGGTGTCTCGTATGTTTGTCATACATTAAAACATTAGTCAATTCATGACAATGACACTGACACACCGTCAACTGAAACATGACGGTTGTAGGCTGTTCAGTGCTTTAGTACTCTCGGTTGCTCGTTGCTGATGGTGTAGGAGACAACGATGGTGTTCAGCAGTCGATGGTGTTGTCGTACCTCCGAGCTACTCTGTAGCCGCATCTGCTGGAGTCTGACTGCACCACCTGGCAACCGCTGGGCAGATGCATGGTGCCGATGTTATGGCTGGCAATTCTGATGACATTTGAAAGATAAAAACATTTTTCAGAACGAAGTCTTCTATTTCTTTCCTAAAAAGTTAATAATTGGACACGTATCTTCTAATAAAGAGTACTTTTTTAGCTTCCATCCCATAAACTGTAACCCTATTGCTGATTACCCAATGCATGGTCACCAAATGGAACAAGGGCTAGAGTGAGTGAGTGAGTATGGTTCAACGCCGTTTTTTTGCAATATTCAAGCAATATCACGGCGGGGGACACCAGAAATGGGCTTCACACATTGTACCCATGTCGGGAATCGAACCCGGGCCTTCAGCGTGACGAACGAACGCTTTAACCACTAGGCTACCTCATCGGCCCGGGCACAGGCAAGAAGAGATCCATGTACCTTATTGCTTGTCGTAAGAGAGACTGTCATGGGTCGGGAAAACAGAATGTGACCTGTCTGATTGTACATGTATGTCATCGTGACAAGATGGGATTAATCGTTGTACATGTTTTCAGTCACTTTTTGGGGCGGTCGGGTAGCCTAGTGGTTAAAGCGTTCGCTCGTCACGCTGAAGACCCGGGTTCGATTCCCCACATGGGTACAATGTGTGAAGCCCATTTCTGGTGTCCCCCGCCGTGATGTTGCTGGAATATTGCTAAAAAGCGGCGTAAAACCATACTCACTCACTCACTTCAGTCACTTTTGTCTCTGTCCCATTCCTGATTATCTACAGTCTGTAGTTAAATAGAGAATCTCACCCAAGTGTCTTTTGATATCAAATATATCAACACGAGTTGATAAAAGTGGAAAAATTCCGAGGCTTGCCGAGGATTTTTGCCACTTTTATCAACGAGTGTTGATATATTTGATGTCAAAAGACACGAGGGTGAGATTTTATTTATCATCCTACATCATTCTTCCAACTTTTTCAATTTGTAGACAGTAATTAGCAGTGTCTTAAGTGTAAAAAGTACTGCTAACAGCTTCAGTTGCAGAGCCATTAGTGATGTCATTTGATTGTGACGTCATGGTAACCAGTGATGTCACAATGGTCTGCAAAGCATTGTGATGTAATTTCATTTCAGCGATATCTACAGTGTAGATATCGCTTGATCTCATCCAAGCGATATCTCCTGTGGGAGCCAGTTTTGGATGATAAAGAGCTGTATTTGCTCACTTACAACATCCGATACACTGTAAAATATGGGTTTAGAATGTAAACATATACATGTTTAGATCCCATGTTTAGGAATGTGTTTAAATCCTAAACGGAATACACATGTAGGGTCTAAACACTTGAAATGATCGACCATCTAACAGCTTAAACACAACCTAAACACCACATCCTCGTAAATTTAAACATATTTAGTGCCTATAAGAATTTAAACATGTTTACGACAAAATGCATATCATTATCTATTATTCCAACAATCTAAACATGTTTAAACGTGTAAATAAAGCGTATAGCATGATGCATTAAGAACAATACGGATAAGATGTATAATATTTATTGCAATTGGATGAGAAAATCTTGCATAACGCATATAACACCAGGACTTACAACAAACTTGGCACACCATTAACATATAAAACAAAGTACAGATAAGTAATAGTGGCTGGGAAAATATTTGTGATGACATTGTACGGTGTACAGGTGGTTACGTGAAGGACGACAGCTACAGAGGATGCTGGTGGGTGTGCCAACGAAACTGTGTTCATTAATGTGTTGTTGCCGTGTGCCTAACGGTACATCACTCATCCAGGGAACAGAATTCGAAGCTGACAGTCAAAAAATATCTGGTTACTACGATAGACCGTTTAGGATTGTGTGCATGGTCTAAACACAGCTTTGACTGTGTATATTGAGAGTACGTATCAAAAACCTACACAATAAGGGGTAAACCACCATCGATAATTTATTATTATTATTTTTCGTGTTTTTTTGCCACCAACGATAATGATTACCGTTTGAATAAAACAGGTCACTTAACATGCATCGTCCTGTATAAGTGATGAAGCTAGCCAACACTCACCCGCAGCATCGAAGTCCTCGCATGGTACAGGTACACAGCTTGCAGTTGGATGCTACCCGGCTCTGGCCGGGCCTCAGTATAAAGTCTATGTGGGGGCAGTGGAAGTATAGCTGTCCCTCTGTAACAGTGAGTGAGTGAGTGAATATATTTCAGGGATATTTCAGCTATAGCCCGGAGTAAATTTGGTATCGAACCCAAAGTGGCGAAAGTCGAAGATCTGTGAATCCATGACCATTGTTGAAGTCCTGACAGACTAGACCCGTGAAGATCCGGGGTAGAAAGGTCTTCAGCAACCTATGCTTGCCATAAAAGGCGAGTGCTGGTCGTAAGAGGCGACTAACGGGATCGGGTGGTCAGGCTACCTGACTTGGTTTATGCATGTCATCGTTTCCCAATTGCGTGGATCGATGCTCATGATGTCAATCACTGGATTGTCTGGACTCGATTATTTACACACCGCTGTCATATAGCTGGAATATTGCTGAGTGTGGCGGTTTTTCAGGTTCAAGATTGACAATTCAGTATCCAATCAGAAACGAGTGTCTTAATGCAAGGTGAGATCAGATAAGGGTTTAACAATATTTGTTCGTTTACAACAAAAGGTAACTCATATCGTCACCTATGGCAATGACATTAGCACGTACTCTGCAGTCAATGAGCGACAGGACTTTGATAATTGGTTCTTCCGATCCCTCCACTAATACTTCTCTCACACTCAGACAGTGGTCAGCTACGAAAGCATAATGGTGCCCCTTTGGTAGCAGTATCTTTTTAAATCGAAATTTCGCGTCGTTTCAATAATTTTCTCGAAATTTCGAGTTCTTCTTCGTTGTTTCGATTATTTTCTCGTTATTTCATTTTTTTCGAAATAACGAATTTTTTCTCGTTATTACTTCGAATATTTCTCGTTATTCTAAGTTTATCTTATTTTTAATATATACTTAAAATACCAAGAAAATAATCGAAATAACGAAAAAATAATCGAAGTAATGACAAAAACTCGAAATTACGAGTTTTTAGATAAACTTGAAATAACGAGAAAATAACAATTTAATAATCCAAGTAACGAGAAACTAATCGAAGTAACGAAACAAATATCGAAATTTCGAGTTTTGAAAATAAACTTGAAATATCTTAAAATAACTCGAAATTAGGAGAGAAAACTCCAAATAACGAGAAAATAATTGAAAGTACAAAAATATAATCGAAACAACGAGAAATAAATCGAAAGTTCAAAAGAGAAAAAAATAATAATTGAAATAACGAGAAATTTCTATTCAAAAATAAATATATATATGCTACCAACGTGGCACAATTAAGCTTTCGTAGTCAACAACAAGAAAGTAGATCAGCTGTTTCACATCGATGTATATCTTCATCCTTAACTAGGACAGCATGATCGGTAACTGACGAGTGAACTGATAAGTTAAATACTCAGATAGTAAAGACCTGTTGGAAATCAGTGCCAGGGTTGTCGCGACCCTGCTACAGTGTACTCTGACGTGGTAATATACACTGTTCCTTATCTACAACATAAAGGTCACAGTGCCAGTTCCCTGTAACTGTAATTAGCTGGTACATGATGTGAACAATTTGCTTACGTGCACAAAATATACTAATAGTCGGATATAAACGAAAGCAACTAATTTCTATACACAGATCTAAATATGAAACAGATATACCTATCTCTTCCATTTCTAGCACAGCTGGGAAAAGCAGTGGAAGGAAATTGGCTATGTTACCATTATTGAACGATATCCGATCATCGCTATACCTGAAGCTTCGGTAAAACGACTTGACGAAATTTACTTTTAATGAAGCAGAAATTCCGATTCATATGCATAAACATTCGGATCAGTCAAAGTCCAGCATTTTACATATTGTTTACTCGGTACACGAACTCTGCCCTCTGAGTCACTTATTAAAGTTTAACTTTATTTGATCATTTAAGGGGCCGATTATTTTTTTCTACAAATGCTTAAAAAAAGATTTATTGGATGCCTGAAAATGGCATCTTCCCGAGGCAAGGGAGTAAACTGACTTTAAAAGTCCAGTTTCCTTGGTGGCTCCATCGTGGCGCAACCAGTGGCTATTACGAGTTATATCCCTTCTATGTCCCTCCTATGGACCAATTAGATTCCACCTCTCATATCATTCATTCATTCATTTGCTTCATACAAAATGGAGGCACCCAGTCAAGACGATCTGATCGATAGTTAGAATCTCTATTGTAATAAAAAGGGTCTTATCTCGCGAAGTCATCAAATAATTGGAGCACCTGGATTACAAACATGAAAAGATGTGGAAAATATCTGTCGACGCCAAGTTGACGGTACACATCCTGCAGTCGATCGGACTCTGCACGGACAATTCTATGTTGTTACAAACTGGAAGTCTAGTTCGTTACGCCATTTTGACTGGACTATGCACATGCTCGTTAATCCAGCCAAAATGTAACTCCGGAATTCCAACCTCGTTTGTCAAGGGTGGAAACTGGACTTTTACAGTTAGTTAACTCCCTTGCCACGGGAAGATGGAAAATGGATATTACCTCCTCACTGGTTCGTAACAATAGCAGGATGGACATTGGACAGATGCAATGCACTGTAGACTATTCGCTGTCATTGGATTTAGAAATGCAAACTTTTACAAAACCAACAGGACTAACACTATGCACGTATTTGGCGATCACTCTATTTTTTTTATCACTATTTTTTACATCGGACGGGGGCGGTCGGGTAGCCTAGTGGTTAAAGCGTTCGCTCGTCACGCCGAAGACCCGGGTTCGAATCCCGACATGGGTACAATGTGTGAAGCCCATTTCTGGTGTCCCCCGCCGTGATATTGCTGGAATAATACTTAAAGCGGCGTAAAACCAAACTCACTAAATAACATCGGACGATGTTGATCTATTCAAAATTATGTTTAGTACGTGTGACTTCTTGTTGACACTGACAGTCATATAACAACCCGCTTCTATCACGGAATGTATTCCCAGGGGTTTCCCATGGTATATGGAAGTAGTCCGTCGGCATTTACTGCATTCCAAGAATACAGTCTCGTGAAAAACGCATGAACGTCAAAATGTGCCGTTCATACAGTTATGAATAACAGTTTCGCGGTCATGTGACCAACCTCTCGTCCAAAGGAAAAGCCGTATATCGTGTAAAGTTCACATAGAAACGTATATTAATTTACAGGTATAGCGAAATATGTCATCATGGGTTTACTGTCTTTGTTTTTATGTTTAATAGTTTAATTTAATGGGCTGTAGTGGCTTAACCTAGCTATAGATACCCCACTCAGACACAGCATACAGACTATGAGCCGACCAGTCCTTGGTTTAGCCCCTAATGCCGAGATCCAGGCAAAATAATAAAGTACCATCTTTTAACGTCTTTCAGTATGACGCTGCCGGGAATCAAACCACCGCTCTCCGGGCGGACACTGGATCCACTAGACCACGGAGGCTGTCGGTTAGTCCCATGACGTACACCGGCAACCATGAACTAAAGTCAGCTTACGAATTGATTAACCTAACATATATTTTACTGTTAACATTTAATGTTTGCACAGTAGCAAGTGTACCTTGTTCACTGTTACTTGTTAATTGTTATTTATCACTTAATCACACATCCATCACACATTTTAAGAACGCAAGACGTTGCCTTAAGCACATGACAGTAATTAATCCACGACGCTGGACGCTTCCGTTGCATTTTACAGTTCACTCGAAAAGACTTTCGCTGCATTGTGCCATACGTTTATAGGTTGTACATGTGTCTGTCCCCAGCAACCTATGCTGATCGGGAAAGACTACTAAATGAATCGGGTGGTCAGACCCAGTCGACTTGGTTGATTGTGTGACATCGTACCCATACGGCGAAGACCGTTGCTCAGAATATCAATCACTGGATTTTCTGTTTCAAACTTAAGTAGTTACAAGCAGCCGCCATGTAGCTGGAATATTGCGGACGGCAAACAAACACTTTTTGAGCGCTCATCGTATCAAATTTAATTACTTTGGATTGGCTGCTACCAACTCTGACTTTACTGTTAAAATCTTCCTAGCACGGTAATTCAAAGAAACGAAAATTAATGCTTGAAAAGATTGTCTTTTCACTAATCGATGTTTTTTGTTTTTTGTTTAACGCCACACTCAGCAATATTCCAGCTATATGACGGCGGTCTGTAAATAATCGAGCCTGGACCAGACAATCAAGTGACTGACATCATGAGCATCGATCCACGCAATTGGGATACGAAGACATGGATCAACCAAGTCAGCGAACCTGACCATCCGTTCCCGTTAGTCGCCTCTTACGACAAGCATAGTCGCCTTTTACGGCAAGCATGGGTTGCTGAAGACCTATTCTACCCCGGATCTTCACGGGTCTAGTCTGTCAGGTCTTCAACCATGGTCATGAATTCACAGATCTTCACGGGTGTACTACATACAGTAACAGAGTATGTACGGCCAGCAGGATAAGGATGGTGACTGGAAATAGCAAACAAACAAACAAACAAACAAAAGTAAGTATAATCGTGTATCATCAGATGATACACAACTCACCACCATGAGTCACCTCGATCTCTGAGTACTCGCATCCTCCTTCCACCCGCCACATCAGCATCAACGTCAGGGAGAGTAACACAAAGATCTTCATTGTGTATAGCTGCATCAAAACACACATGGACAATGACTGTCCACTGCCCAACTGCCTTGCTTATAGTAAGAGTGACCGGTGAACCAAATGCAGTTCCCTGTGAAATACGTCATCTCACCTTATGTAGTATAATCACTTTCGTCTATAAATACATGAACTATATATAAATTGTCAATGCGAGAGAATAACCAGCCTAGATTTTCTGCCGAAACAGATTCCATTTGTCGTAAAGGGAAACGTAGCTGTGGAAATTATATGAATGGACAACTGAAAATCAGTGATGACACCAGGTGTTCGCTAAAATGGTAAGCATGTGCTGCCCTACCGGTCGCATCCTCCATTGCAGAAAAAAGTAAATATGTATTGTCTGACGCCGCACAGAAGTACACCTGCCGTACGACGTCAGCCTGTAAACAAGCCAGACAATCCAGTGATTGATGAACCAGAAATCCAGTGGTTGGTTGGTTGGTTTGTTGTTTAACGCCGCACTCAGCAACATTCTAGCTAAATGACGGCGGTCTGTAAATAATCGAGTCTGGACCAGACAATCCAGTGATTGACATCATGAGCATCGATCCACGCAATTGGGATCGATGACATGTATCAACCAAGTCAGCGAGCCTGACCACACGATCCCGTTAGTCGCCTTTTACGACAAGCATAGTTGCTGAAGACCTTTTTACCCCACAATCTTCACGGGTCAGAAATCCAGTGACACGATAGTACCATTACTGATTTTTGTAAACTAATAAAAACAATATGTCAATTTTGAATTACGTCTGCTGTGTAAAAGTGCAGATATAATGCTGCTTATTAATAAAGAAAAACGTTGAAGAAACTCATCTACCCTACTGTTGGAGATAGAGGAAAGTGTTTAATTCTTGCATATATAAAATTCGTTCCACCGATCAATTGCATAAACCAAAAATAGCCAGAACAGAATATTCTTTGGTTGATGCTACATGGATCATATGTTTAAAGCGATTCTAAAAGCTTTGTCATCAACACGTACTGATAAACTTGTACAACATTAAGTAATAATAGAAAACATTTGCTCATGAGAAAGCAGCTGTAATTCCCCGTATACGTCTGAATAAAACAACACTCCACTAAATTTCCTGGTCATTTTAAAAATAAATATATGTATTTGTAGTTAAGCAGTAGGGGCATGAATGTTTGTATGAAGGCTTCTGACCAATGCTTGACAATCTTCTTGTTCCGTTTTTTCAATCTGTTGTGTGAGCTGTTGTATTTCCAGTTGTGTCGATTTATGATACAAAAAAGTGTTTCCAATTTCATATGACACATTTTGCATCAACACCGTCTGGAATGGAGTGATGAGCTTTCACAACATGGACTCTATCTTGTTTCAAGTGACCTCTCATTATCCTATCAACATATTACCCGTCTAGTGACAGATGGCGTTCCCTCAGTGTCGACGGGAGATGTGAGGGAAGGGTCCCTCGTGGTTTAGACATTCGCCGGACATGGCGTAATTATAGGCGCATGTAGTTTCCGCTCGCAATACTTACCACTCGATGATTTGGAGCGGTTGTATGTGGTTGATCAACCTTACGGAGATAATGCTCCGTTTAGAAGGATAGTTGGTACAAATGAGATTAACATTATAATATTGAATATTTAATCATTTTAAATTGTGGCAAGTTGTACTTGTGTGGTTTTTCATTCCCAAGCATCTACCACAGTCGTTACATATACCACGATGTAACAGTGTGTAAAGGTTAAATATAGATCAGGGTTCTCATGTGTAATTGGAAACAGTACGTGAGAAAGTTTATACCAGACCAAGTTAATTCATTTGCAGCTTGTATCGTGAGGGTTGACGTGTTACGGAAATCTTTCTTTCTCTCTCTCTCTCTCTCTCTCTCTCTCTCTCTCTCTCTCTCTCTCTCTCTCTCTCAAACCCGTATATATTCTGTCGTCTTTCTCTCATTCTCTCGTTCATCTGCTCTCTCCACCGTCCACCGTACAGACCTGCATGTTTTTTGGGATCACCTTAAACTATACTATTTCGTCTCGTAATGTTCTGTTCGTCTCATAATGCACCTTCTCTCCCTCTTCATATTCTCCCATCGTCGCTGGCTGTGGTATTGATCACTATATTCTCTCTGCATATACTGCATTTAGTCCGTAGCTTGTATTCGCAATATCATATATGTATCTACTATTTATTGATGACTGTAGATGTTGCTGGAACAATTGTGACATGTACATAAGTTACAAAATTGGTTCTTTTCTGAAAATAGACGGTAGAGATACCCATACATGTATCTGCACTGAACCTTTGTTTTGTTACAGTTTAACATTTGCCAGACTGCATGTTACAGCGAGCAGACATGATTGACCACATTACTAAGCTGTCTACAACCACAAGTTACATTAGCCTCAACTCCACCACTGGCGCTTGATCTACCCGGTTTGAAAACGGCTATTAAAACGAGATGATTCCCAAGTTGAAACCCAAAGGTTAACTCAGAAATCGGGACGTACAGTGAGTGAGTGAGTGAGTGAGTGAGTAAGTTGGGTTTAACGCCGCTTTTAACAGTTTAATGTGGGAGGAAAGCCAGAAGTGATGCAGGTCTCAGACGTTTACCACTTCGGTGAAACCCACGAGCACGGGCATGGTGCTGACAAACCTAGAAACATAATCGGGGCGAACCGGGATTCGAACCCACAATCATAGGTTTCTGGCGTGCCAAAGGGACACAACTCTGTACAGCGAATCGCGGCGCCTTAGACGACTGGGCTATCCGTGTCCCCGGTACGTACAGACTTATATTGCGAAATCAGTAAATGACCACAAAGGATCAATGAATAGTCAATTATCAAATTACACTGAAGCACCATTTAAGGTTTACAGTGACAACAATCTATAGAATAGGTCAAACAGATCCGTTAAAAGGCCCTGTAACAAATATCTTATGCAACAAAAATTGATACAGGTAATGCTACCACACAACCAAAACCAAAGAAAAAGAAACTCTAAATTGGCAATAAAATGTGTTTTTAGAGACGGGGGAGAGTAATTTGAGTTACGTCCCTTTACTGCCTGGATCAAGTGGCTGTGTCTTGGAATCCCTATCTCACCCCGACCCGTGAAGATCCGGGGTAGAATAGATCTTCAGCAACCCATGCGTGCCGTAAAAGGCGGCTATGCTTGTCTTAAAAGGCGACTAACGGGATCGGGTGGTCAGGTTCGCTGACTTGGTTGATGCATGTCATCGATCCCAATTGAGTGGATCGATGCTCATGATATTAATCACTGGATTGTCTGGTCCAGACTCGATTATTTACAGACCGCCGTCATAGAGTGCGGCGTTAAACAACAAACCAACCAACAACCTCTCTAACCCTGACGAAGATGCTTTGTCTCTCATCACACTACGTTATCATGGCGCATGGTCGTTTTGTAATTTCGTCCCTCGTTATGCTGTAAATTTACTGAAATGCTGTAAAAAGGGCAGTGACCCCCAAATTGGCCTGTCACCTATTCACGCACGGAATTATAATTTCTTTAAACAACACAAATCATATGTATATATTGTGAAACACAATACACAAACATATCCAACCGCTGTGTAAATGTGACAAGTGTCACGTCACAGTAGGCCTCCAGAGTGTACTGCGCAGGAACACCGCGTCATACATATTCATGAACTCCGGGGGTTCTCTAAGTGGAAGGAGCGCCTCCATGCAACTTTTGCCAGGAAGGGGAGATAATGAGAAGGAACGGCATAGACTCCTGTGACCTTTCGTTAGCGTGCTGGTTGACTGTCCAGTGAATGTGTTCATCCATCATCGCATCATTTACGTCACTTACTCTGAAATAAACAACGGGTTGTGTCAATACACAAGCTCTGGCGTGTTTGATTTACAGTCAGCTGGTGTGTCGGACCGCACTCGTGGGGGAACATGGAGGGATGTCGTTTCACATGACATATAACGTCGTCCAAGCATAATCAATTCACGTCTCCACTTGATGCCAGTCTTGTCAACATAAATATCTAACCTAAATCCCCATGAATTGTTTTATATAGTTGATTTATATGTAAACTGTTGCCAGCACGTTTTCAACTCGTAACACGTTTCGAAAACAACCGTGGGGATGCCAGGTTACAATTGCCTCAGCATCCTATGCTGGCCGTAAGAGGCGTCCAAATGGACCAAATGGGAAGTTTATACGATATACAGCTTTTCCTTTGGACGAGAGGTCGGTCGCGCGGCCGCGAAACTGACGTTTAGAAGTGTGTGAACGACGTTCAAACGTTTTTCACGAGACTGTATTCTTGAAAAAACGTAAACACTGACGGACAACTTCCACATTCCTGTGGGAAATCCCTGGAAATAACGTAAACACTGACGAACTACTTCTACATTCCTGCGGAAATCCCTGGAAATAACGTAAACACTGACGAACTACTTCCACATTCCTGCGGAAATCCCTGGAAATAACGTAAACACTGACGAACTACTTCTACATTCCTGCGGAAATCCCTGGAAATAACGTAAACACTGACGGACAACTTCCACATTCCTGCGGAAATCCCTGGAAATAACGTAAACACTGACGAACTACTTCCACATTCCTGCGGAAACCCCTGGGAATTCCCTCTTACAGAAGAGACCGCCTCCTTGGTCTAGTGATAGAGTGGTTCGATCCCCGGCCGCGTTATACCAAAAGACGTTTAAAGACGGTATTTGTTGTTACCCTGTCTGGCGCTCGGCATAAGTGACCACAACAAGAACTGGTCGGCTCGGAGGCAGTAGACTGTGTCTTGGGATGTATTTATGAACTGCGGCATGGTATCCCAGTGGGCTAGCACTATAATTCAGCATCTGTCGGGACTAGTACTAATGATTAAGCTATTTGAATCTATTTGTTGTAATCAAACTACAATAGGTGCTATTGTAGAGCAATTTGAGCATACATCTGCTAATGAAACCTCTCCCGTTGAGGAACTTCTTCATTCCGCGATACAGCTGGTTGTACAGTCAGTGTGAATTCGAAGTCACACATTTTAATTATTATTGTGTTTAAATCTATATACGTCTAGCTTAAAAATAGTGATAGAAAAATAAGGATTGACATTCATTTTGTGTGAGTTAATTTGAGTTAATAGAGTGAGGGCCAAACAAGAGCCGTAATCTCAACAATCACACAGTTTGGTTCTCTCTCCATGAAGGTCAATACTCCAATGAAGTCACACAAAGAGAAAGTTAATTCTTAAATACTCTCAAGATGAATGACAATTATTTGTTTACTATAACAGTAATAAAGATAATAATATAATCCACTTGAGCAGAGTTTGTTGGCATCAATGTGACGTAGCTGTATGCAAACTACAACTCTATATTTAATGCCCCGTTGGCTTTTACGGAATGTCAAAGTGCCAGAGGTTAACTATCCTGCTGTGGTGTAGCGATTTATAATTAATTGTCGACATTAAATGGTGATGGCGTCTGTGGCATGTAGCTTCGGATAGAAATATATAATGCCATCATCGTCTGGAAACTTATAGGCAATTGTATTATCATCTGGGAACATCCTAATAAATGTGATGTCATGCCAGTCATAAGTGACAACCTCCCAATTCTACAGCAAAGTGATAAAATGAAACAAGGACTGAATAAATCAAAAATTATAAAAAGTACCAGGCATCCAAAAAATCTCAAGCAAATTCTTTGTCCATCCAAATATTCTTGTACAGAGTGTATCATGTGCAAGTAGATGTAACACACCAAGATGCGGCACGTGTAACATCATAAGTGAAGGTACTACTTCCCTTTTTGCAAATGACAAGGGTTTCATTGTGAAAGCCGACATGAACTGCCGCAGCAAAAATGTGGTGTATGTTATGCGATGTTCGGGATGCGGCGAAAACTACATCGGTGAAACCAGCATGGAATTAAAAGATCGAATCACTGTACACAAACAGCAGATTAGAGACCCTAACGTTCCGTGCTTAAGTGTCAGCAAACACATTGATGATTGCGGAAACGAGAAATTTAGTATTTTTCCGTTTTATAAATTGTATACCAGTAACAAGCAGCAGAGACTGGAAAAAGAACAAATGTTTATCCAGTTGATGAAACCCAAATTGAACTCTAGAATGTATTAATACATTTGTCATTTCAATCGAAAATGTTGCACTGCTACTTTACAAATGATGTATATTTTAATTAAAATGTCTCCCTAAAATTGTTCAATTACTTGGTGTCGTCGCTGGAGTGTGTAAAAACATTATGACAATTGTAATTTATGACCTCATCATAAGTATGACGTCATTCATATGTCATTGTCAGTCACACAGAATAGCTGAGACAGTGAAAGTACTATGTCTGAAACTGATATAAAGAAGATGTTGGACTGACGTGGACTTTATTATTTTATTTTATTATTATTTATAGTATCAACAGGGAACATATGGACAATCGTCTTATTATCTTGGAAGATATGGATAATGTTATTATCATCTGGGAACATACAGATCATGTTATCATCTGGAAACACCAATATAATGTAATTATCATTTGGGAACATACAGATAATGTTATTAACATCTGGGAACATACAGAACATGTTATCGTCATCTGGGACCATACAGAACATGTTATTATCATCTGGGAACATACAGATAATGTTATTATCATCTGAGAACATACAGAACATGTATCATCTTGGAACATTTTGATAATGTTATTATCACCTGGGAACATAAAGACAATCGTCTTATCATCTGGGAAGATATATATAAATTAATTGTTATTATCATCTGGGACCATATAGATCATGTTATTATGATCAGGGAACTTATATGTAATGGTATTATCATCTGGGACCATATATAATGTTATTGTACATGTCATCTCGGAACACAAAGAAGTTTTTATTCGGGCTTTCCCCCCACATTAAGCTGAAACGCTGTGAAAACCTGGAATACTGTTTAAAGCGAAGTTAAACCCAACTCACTCACTGACTCACTCCCTCACTCACTCACTTGAAAAGAAAATAACAACAATAAACACGTCCTTGATAGTTGTCAAATGGTTTATTTCAGCTGTTGTAGTCCAGTATAAGATGCCGAGTAAGATTGGCCGTCACTCAAGCCATCAACACTATATTCTAGCAGGGGATGTCTTCGTTGTCTATTCTGACGATCTTTACCCCACACTGGCCGACTTTCTTCACCTTACAAGGAGGGGCTACTCGCATAACTCCAGCTGATTGCCCAACTCTGAAACAAATAAAGCCCGAGGTTGTTTGGATATTGGAATACAAGCTAAGCCTGTGTAAAATGGACGGTAGAACCACGTTTTCTATTTAATTAACACTGTTGCAAAAAAAGTCACGCCAATCACCCATTTCTTAGAAAGGTCACCCTTAATAATACCAGCTACATCGGAAATATACATGTAATGTTGTACATTTCCATGATGCCTCTACAGCGTACTCCCGTTATAACGAAGAGAGTGAGTGAGTATGATTTTACGCCGCTTTAAGCAATAATCCAGCAATATCACGGCGGGGGACACCAGAAATGGGCTTCACACATTGTACCCATGTCGGGAATCGAACCCGGGTCTTCGGCGTGACGAGCGAACGCATTAACCACTAGGCTACCCGACCGCCCCAATATAACGAAGAGAGGTGGGGATGAGATGAAATGGGGTTTAACTTCGCGTCCAAGATTATTGCACTTATATAGCGACGTACATGCATGTGTGTGTGTGTTGTGGATGTGGATGTACTAGTCCGGACAGTTGCCGATTTATAGTGCTAGCCCACTGACATACCATGCCGCAGTTTAACATGAATGCCCCACTTAGACACAGTATACTGACTCCGAGCCGACCAGTCCTTGTTTTAGCCCTTAATGCCGGGCGCCAGACAGAGTAACAACAAGTACCATCTTTTAACGTCTTATGACGCGGCCGGGAATGGAACCCCATACCTTCCGCTCTCCGGGCGGAGGCTCTACCACTGGACCACAGAGGCGGTCTCACACAAGAGAATTTTTGGGATGAAACCTTCGTTAAGCGAACACCCTGCCCGATGCAGTAAGTGATGCTTACATTATCAACCACTGAAGACCTGTGCCAGTTCGGATTACAAATGAGTGTTTTTTTGCTTTTATTTCACTGCGTGACAAATTCATGTCGTGACAGTCGCTCACTACACACTCACTCATACAATCCAAACACTCAAACACTTCCGAATCACTCAGACACACACTTAAACACTCACTTGCACACTGACTCAAACACTCATCCACACACTAAAACACCCACTCAAACACTTACTTTCACACGCGGTCATTCAATCAATCAATAATCACTCAAACACTCATTTACACACTCAATCATTCCCTCACTTACTCACTAAGACACACACGCAAACACTCACTCATACACTCCAAGCTCTCACTCACACACTCAAACACAAACACACATTCATGCACTCAAATAATCACTAACTCACTCATTCAAAAACTACTCACTCAGACACGCACTCAACTCAACTCAAACAACTCACGCAGGCACTCAATCTTACATGCAATCAAACACTCACTTACACACTCAAACACTCACTCACACACTCAAACACTAAAACACACACTCACACACTCAAACACAAACACTCACTCACACACTCAAATAACTGGTGTCACCCGTCGTGATACTGCTGGAATTGTGCTAAAGGCGGCGTAAAACCATACTCACTCATTCACTACACTCAAATAATCTCTCACTCACTTAAAAACTTCTCACTCAATTACAGACTCAAACACTCACACAGTCACTCGCCCACTAAAAAACACGACACTTTAAAAAAAATCTGACACGCAATCAAACACTCACTCACACACTCAAACACTCACTCAAACACTTACACATTTACTTACTCAAACGCTCATACATTCACTAAAACACACTCAAACACTCACTCACTGATTTCTAGGGAACAAAGATGTGTTTTAGCGCGACTCACCCAACCACTCACTTACTCACCCACTCAAACACTCACTCACTCAAACACTCACTCAAACACTTATACACTCACTCAGACATTCACACACTCAAACACTCACACATTCACTCAGTCATTCAAACACTCACTCACTGATTTCTAGGGAACATAGATGTGTTTGAGTGCGACTCAAACAAACCACTCACTTACTCAGCCACTCGAACATTCACTCACTCAAACACTCACTCACTCAAACACTCACTCACACATTTATACAGTCACTCAAACACTCAAACACACACACTCAAACACACACACACACTCACTCACAAACACACACTTAATCACACACACACACACACACAAACACACACACAAACACACACACACACACACTCAAACCCACACACACACACAAACACACACACTCACACTCACTCACTCACTCACACACAAACACACTCTCACACACACACACACTCAAACACACACACACACACACACACTCAAACACACACACACACTCACAAACACACACACACAAACACGAACACACTCAAACACACACTCAAACACACACACACACACACTCACACAAACAAACACACACACTCACACACAAACACACACACACACACACACTCAAACACACACACACAAACACTCTCTCTCACACACACACACACACACACACTCACACATTCACGTACTCACTGAGATATGTTGAGCGCGAGACTCGTCAATCTGAATTTGCAATACAAATGATAAAGTAGGACATGAAACAAGTCAGCAAATACGTACCCGCAGCATGACATCATGTACGATGAACATGTACAGTTCATGCAGCTCGATGCGTCAAAGTAGTACTCGTTCACGCCGAACGTGTTTGACCCATACGTGCAGTACTTTTCCTGTTGTCCGGTCCGTTCTGCAAATACAAGGAAGCGGTTACGTCCCCTTGGTACTTTTCATACGAACATATTAGAATAACCATGTGACATGTTTAACCCCCACAACTGGCGAACAGTTAGGTTATACAATAACCTCTTGGCTGTTTATCCAACAACGTAACTTTTCAATCAATAAAAGATATTTGACTTCTCCTATCATTGAGTGAGTGGGTGAGTTGGGTTTAACGCCGCTTTTAACAGTATTACAGTTTTATCGCAGCGTGTCAGCTTAATGTGGGAGGAAAGCCCGAAGTGATGCAGGTCACAGACGTTTACCACTTCGGTGAAACCCACGAGCACGGGTATGGTACTGACAAACCTAGAAATATAATCGGGGCGAACCGTTATTCGAACCCACAATCTGACGTGCCCAAGGGACGCAACTCTGCACAGCGAATCGCGACGCCTTAGACGACTGGGCCACCCGTGCCCCCGACTTCTCCCATCAAATAACATGTTTCCCATATCGAGTGACCTGATGACGGTAACATTTTCCGGTTTCAATATTTAGGTTAACATTATTATGTTACAAGAAAAGCCAAATTTACCACTTATTATTCTTACCGATCTTAGTATTAGCAAACACCACGATTTTTAGCAGACTGAAAGTGGTGCCTCTTTCACTCGAGCGAAATGGGATTTTATACGTTCAGATAAATATGACATGCCATAACCCAAATGAGGTGTGTGCTTGAGTCTGTGTTCATAGCCACCATGCAACATTCCAACCAACTGCCCCGTGGGATATGATTTTGTTTGTTTGTTTGCTTGCTTATTTGTTTGTTATTTAACGCCGCACTAAAAATATTCCAGCTATATGACGGCGGTCTGTGAAAATCGGGTCTGGATCAGACAATCCAGTGATTGACATCATGAGCAGCGATCCAAGCAATTGGGATACGATGATATGCATCAATCAAGTCAGCGAACCTGAGACCCGATCCCGTTAGTCGCCTCTTACGACAAGCATAGTCGCCTTTTACGTCAAGCATAGTCGCCTCTTACGGCAAGCATCGGTTGACAAGAAGGGACATGAAGAACACACGTTGTGCCGGGGGTCACGGGTGGCCCAGTCGTCTAAGGCGCCGCGATTCGCTGTGCAGAGTTGCGTCCCTTGGGCACGCTAGATACCTATGATTGTGGGTTCGAATCCCGGTTAACCCCAATAATGTTTCTAGGTTTGTCAGCACCATACCCGTCCTCGTGGGTGTCACCGAAGTGGTAAACGTCTGAGACCTGCATCACTTCGAGCTATCCTCCCACATCAAGCTGACACGCCGTGATATAACTGGAATACTGTTAAAAGCGGCGTTAAACCTAACTCACTCACTCACACGTCGTGCCGTTGTAAGAGTGAGTGAACATCGTTTTACGCCGCCGTAAGCAATATTCCAGCAATATCACGGCGGGGGACACCACCAAATGGCTTTACACATTGTACTTATGTGGGGAGTCGAACCTGAGTCTTCGGTGAGAAAAACGCCCGCTTTAACCACTAGGATACCCCGCCGCCCACCTTTATAAGAAATCAAACCTTTGTCCTCGGCGTGACGAGCGAACGACCATCTGGATCATATGCGACTTCACAACTCCTCACGTGTGCAGGATATATATATTTATCGAAAATAATATTTAAGGGGAAATTGCAAGAGTCCCATCTCCTCTTCAAATGAAAAAAACTTGATAATGAATAAGTCATAACTCAGACTGTAAGACTACAATGCGTCCGAAAAAATGACATCGATGGAAGGGAATTGGATCTTGATTTAATTTGGTAAAAGGTCACAATTATGGTAAAGGTCACTTAGGGTAACCTGAAGTATAACATACGTGTATTTCTTATTGTCTATGCCAGTGAGTGATGAATACGTCTCTTACGGTTTGTCCTCGTCTTGACCCGGCCGGCCATGCAAGAAGCCGAGATGAGGCAAGGGAGGCAGAGTAGGATGGCTAATGTCAGAGACTGGTTCATGGTGATGCCCTGAAACAAAACCCTCACTTTAGAGGTATTCATCCTTGTATCCAATCTAATGTTAATATAGGTAAAACATACATGCATAGCATTGAATATTGTGACGGACTTATAAAAAATCCCAAATGAATATATTACTACCAGTATCAAATAAAACTTGGTTCATTGAATCATTTTCCCTGATTTCAACTCTATAGGTACCTATCGTGTATTGAACCATTTCTTTCCATACAAAAGTGAAAAACAACAACATAAACGTTGTCAATATAAAGCCATCCCCCAGATCTAGCGCAGGATTAACTTTTTGGGTCAGCAAAGTGATAAAAACTAGATTTTCAGGAACTGAGTAGCTTTGGCGAAGTTACCACTTGGTTCAGATATTGGAAGAAATTGTTCCTTATTTAATCTTTTCCTAATCTTTCTGGGGACGTTCAATGTGTATGCATCTCCGATACGTAACATTACTTTAACCTTTGTTTGTAGGCATTATTCCAGCCATTATGATGACGGTCTGTAAATAATCAGACAATCTAGTGATTGACATCGTGAGCATCGATCTTCGCAATTTAAATTGCATTTCACCGAGGCTGATAACTTGATCCCGTTAGTCGCCTCTTACGACAAGATTGGATGCAAAACAATTCTACCCCGGAATCTTCTCGGTGTGTACAGTAACACAAGACCGTGATACAATATAAATATCTGGTGTTAAACATGCACTCCAAGGACTGCAAGAGAAATATAGAGTGAGTGAATGTTATTTCTCACAGTTCCAGCTATGTCACGGAGGCTTGTAAATAATGCCATCTGAGCTGGGCATATTACCCCTCATTGGGTTTCAATGAGACGTAATCATTCAGATTACACACACTGTAAACACCCACACACCCTTCCCCACCCCACCCACACACCCTCCCACCCCTTCCCTCCCACGAGACCCATAACTCGGCTGATACAGGCGTGAGATTCCTGGGGGTCAGCATTTAGTGTGAACAGAGCCTTTACACTAGAAATAAATCGCGAGCCTGACACCACCTGTAGGACATTGTCTTCAATGAGGAACAATTGAGGCCTAATGGTCATTACGGTACGCTGAAAACCCGAGTTCAATTTCCTACGGTGTTATAATGACTGGACACTATCATAATGTCCTCCAAGATATATCTAAACCCTTCTCATTCACGTGTAAGATATAACTAAAAGCGACACAGTCCTACCTACAGAAATAAACAAATATTTGTCTAACACATAGTCCAGTGAACGATTCCGTCCATGTAATAACCATGGTTTAATAAATCACTCAGATTGTGATACCAGATGTTTGAAAAGGTGAGCGTACCCTGCCCACCGCATCCGTCACAAACACATGCAATGGCAAGTCAATTGTTGACCTGACGAAATAAGGGAATATATGGTTGAAAACAAAATATGTCATCACATCAGATATTCTTGTCACTTAGGTATGTCTTATATATATCTGGCATAAAACTCTTTGAAAGCTTTTCAATGGCCTTGAATGTTGTAACCCTGCTCAACCAACTTTTGGCATTAGGTTTATGAGGCTCTTTGACATCTTTGTAGAAAGAGCATCCTTGATATAAATGCGGATTTGTCCCTTGTTTCAATAAACTTAAGATGTTTGTCTCTTCTAACTTATATAAGGCAGCGGAATACGACTGTCTGTCGTGTTATTAAAGAACTGTTAATTGCGCTTACAGTCCAAGCTTCCCACTCGGTCGCTCTGCTAATATATGGCTTACTTGTCAGCGTTATGTAAATGGTAATTGTAGCAGATTATAGAAATAGCTAATGTTCTCTTCAACGGACTTGGCATGAATTAACCCTGCGAGTGGTACTGTTGTACTGCTGTGGCAGACTAGCGTTCACAAAGGTTGAGACTTTGATCATAAGGACGTAGTGTGTGCCCATATATTCCGATTCTTGAGGAGGACTGATTGAGACGATGATGTTTTATGCCGCTTGTAGACCTGTTGCGGCAATCACACGACGGGATATGAGAGCTGTGACACGGGGTGGGGATGCCAGTTGTCTGAGGCATCTATTTGATTGAACCAGAGGGGGTACGGAAGGGGACGGGGTTAGGGACAAGGGGTGGGGTTGGTGTGTGGCAGTTGTCTGAGGCATCTATTTGATTGTTGAACCAGGGGGGTACGGAAGGGGGCGGGGTCGGGGACAAGGGGTCGGGGTTGGTGTGTGGCAGTTGTCTGAGGCATCTATTTGATTGAACCAGAGGGGGTACGGAAGTGGGCGGGGTCGGGGACAAGGGGTCGGGGTTGGTGTGTGGCGGTTGTCTGAGGCATCTATTTGATTGAACCAGAGGGGGTACGGAAGGGGGCGGGGGCGGGGACAAGGGGTCGGGGTTGGTGTGTGGCAGTTGTCTGAGGCATCTATTTGATTGAACCAGAGGGGGTACGGAAGTGGGCGGGGTCGGGGACAAGGGGCCGGGGTGGGTGTGTGGCAGTTGTCTGAGGCATCTATTTGATTGAACCAGAGGGGGTACGGAAGTTGGCGGGGTCCGGGACAAGGGGTCGGGGTTGGTGTGTGGCAGTTGTCTGAGGCATCTATTTGATTGAACCAGAGGGGGTACGGAAGGGGGCGGGGTCAGGGACAAGGGGTGAGGTTGGTGTGTGGCAGTTGTCTGAGGCATCTATTTGATTGAACCAGAGGGGGTACGGAAGTGGGCGGGGTCGGGGACAAGGGGTGGGGGTTGGTGTTTGGCAGTTGCCTGAGGCATCTATTGATTGTTGAATCAGGGGGGTACGGAAGGGGGCGGGGTCGGGGACAAGGGGTGGGGTTTGGTGTGTGGCAGTTGTCTAAGGTCTCTAATATTCAGACCAGATGTTCAAAGCGGAACTCTGCCACCTAATTCACCCATCCTCATTAAATCACGTCATAACCCATATAATTAAAGATAAACATGTGAATAAATTTATTCACATCACGCGTACAATTAAGTGTAATTTAACGGTAATATCCAGGACTGTTATATAACATAATTTCCAAGGTTGACGCACTGACGTCATGTTTAATGATATCTAAAGAGACATTATGTCACAGCGTTATGCTATCATTATAGTCGCTTTGGATCTGCTGGCTAGTCCACATTAGAGTGAGTGAGTATGGTGTTTAGCCGTGGCGTGAGCCGCATTTTTACAAATATTGCCATATGGCGACTGAATCCCAGAAATGGCCTCCACATATTGTACACATAAAGGGCAACCAAACCCGGGTCTTCGTCGTGACGGGGCACGGGTTGCCCAGTCGTCTAAGGCGCCGCGATACGCAGTGCAGAGTTGCGTCCCCTGGACACGCCAGAAACCTATGATTGTGGGTTCGAATCCCGGTTCACCCCGATTATGTTTCTAGGTTTGTCAGCACCATACCCGTGCTCGTGGGTTTCACCGAAGTGGAAAACGTCTGAGACCTGCATCACTTCGGACTTTCCTCCCACATTAAGCTGACACGCCGCGATATAACTGGAATACTGTTAAAAGTGGCGTTAAACCCAACTCACTCACTCACTCTTCGTCGTGACGAGCGAACGCTTTAACCACTAGGCTACCCCAAAACCCCATACCGCATCAGACCTTTTTTCACGACAGCGTTTAATGTTAGGATAATAAAAATAGTTTTCATGTTTGTGCCCCACTGTGAGTGTACGAAGTTCCTGTTTTTTATGTATTTATCCTTCAATCGTTTGGGAAATGCAACAAATTAAGACACTGGTTCCATAAAGCCAGTATCCCAACGTCTATGTGCGCCAAGGGACTATCAAAGTGACGCGTGATGAGATGAGCGAACGAAACTAAACCCCGGCTTACGAACCACTCTATCAACCAGACAGGGAAACAGCTCCCAAGCCTTGATACCATTATTCAAGACGTGTTTCCTGTATACCTAAGAGAGATATTTTAAATTACACGAACCAATAAACGCAGTGAAGTTTTAATATCCTTAAAACCTTAATTTGAGTGTTAAGATTAAAATTTCATTTTTCTGCTATTGCTCTTTTCAAATTCATCGCATAGCGTCCAGCTCATATTCACTGATGGTTAGCACGTGCAAAGGTCAAGCCCCGGATGTATTGACACAGTAATGCATCATTGTATAACTGCAAGTGATGGTAAGTCCCAAATGGAAAACATAGCCACATGTGAAGCATGTATTATGTTAGAAAGGCTCAATACATTACTTCCTTCTGGCAAAACTTGATAGGCATTAGGGGGCACGGGTGTCCCAGTCGTTTAAGGCGCCGCAATTCGCTGTGCAGAGTTGCGTCCCTTGGGCACGCCAGAAACCTATGATTGTGGGTTCCAATCCCGGTTCGCCCCGATTATGTTTCTAGGTTAGTCAGCACCATACCCGTGCTCATGGGTTACACCGAAGTGGTAAACGTCTTAGACCTGCATCACTTCGAGCTTTCCAGCCACATTAAGCTGACACGCCGTGATATAACTGGAATACTGTTAAAAGCCGCGTTAAACCCAACTCACTCACTCACTCACTGATAGTTTTTAAGTTCCGTGAGTTAAATTTGTAGAGCAGCAGCCCAGAGCACTTTGGTCAACCGAACAAGGTACCAATATCCGAACACAGGAACATTTACTGTGTAACCCAACATATTCATATATGGATGTCTGCCGGGGAGCCCTTGCTGCGTGTGCCCCCCCCCCCCCCCCCCAAAAAAAAAGAAGGGACCATTCAAGGGCTGGATCAAACATTGGAGGTACCACATGAAAGTAAGTGTAAATGAACTGGTTCATCTCACAGAGTACTGAATGGGCCACACCAGACAAATCTTCCTCTGCATAAGGCCTGCCAGACACCCCCCACAAAGCACTCAGTGGACACTCTGGTAAAATTTGACTAGAGTATACATTCAAAGTACCAGATAAGTTTAGATGAACAGGTACATGTTACTGTGTACAAAACGGCCCCTTCCTGACAAATTGTCCTCTGCATAAGGTCCGCCATACCCCCCAGAGAGGGTCCCAAAATTTGGGCTAGGTTAAACATTGGAGGTACCACATAAAACCAACATAAAATGAACAATTGCACTCTACTTATTGCACAATACCCATTGCCAGGCAAATCATCTTCTGCATAAGGCCCGCCAGACTCCTACATAAAGTTGTCCCTTCGGGTATACACGGGTTAAATTGGGCTGGAATTTATATCGATTGTACCACATTAAGGTAAGTTTCAATGAGCAGGTTCTTATCACAGAGTACAGAATGGGCCACACCAGACAAATTGTCCTCTGTATAAGGCTTAAACATTGGAGGTATCACATGGAACCAACAGAAAATGAACTATTACACTCTACTTATTACAAAATACCCATTGCCAGACAAATCCTCTTCTGCATAAGGCCCGCCAGACACACCCTCACCCCACCCCACAAAGTTGACCCTCTGTAATCCCAGTGTGCATAATGAAACATAGGAGGCAGAAGAGCATTGGACATCAGCTCTGAGGGTCAACAAATGGTCAATTTATGTTTTGTTCTTAAAGATGGAAGGATTTTATTGAGATTAAAATCACGTATTTATAAAATTAGGTCTCTGAATACTAGTATTGATATCATAGATTAGGCCTATCGTTGAAATGTAATGAAAATGGCATGAATCTGATACGTGTTAATATATATCTGATCAGCTATGATAGCTTGGCTATGGATTCCTACAAAACCCAAACATGCTTAGGTAGTCCTCAAAGCCTGCTGTAAGAATGGTTAATGATAGTCCCTAATACGTACCATTTGGAAATCTCTATGTGATAATTGTGTTTGCATTGGATTAGACTTGATTTTCAAGACTCAATAGTATCTCGTCAACGAAGAAAAGACGTCTATGTAAAATTGATAAATATTGAGATATATTTGGCCCGAATTCAGCTTTTTAGATGATAAAAATTTCTAAATAAATGGAGATCATAGGTTATTAAACACAATTATTACCCAGATTTTCCAGATTATCGTCCTAAAACATTTCCAAGTGGTATTAGGGGCTGTCATTAACCATTCTGCAACACTCAACAACAAAAGTTCCTGTGACACCAATATTTTAGTGTATTTTTCAAAGAAGTAAAGTTTGGTTTTCATTATTGTAGTACATGCAGGGAATCAAGTCACAAAAACGCAACTGCTACAGAAAAAATGCATTCCATGTAAAAGTTTACTTTTATGCAAGCCCCATGCATTTCACTACCCAAGAATGAGTATAAAAACGTTAATGGGATTCCTTATGCATTGTTTAGCATCGTGCTGACAACAACCTCTCAGAAAAACAACAAAACTACGCAATTATTCAACATTATGAAATGCCACGCTTGTCCGAAAATGAGCGTCTGCGAGCCATTGGTATGCTTGAAGCAGGATCGAGTCAACGTGATGTTGCAAGAAAATTTAACGTCCACAGAAACACTATTTGGTGTTTATGCCAACGTTGGCAACAGACGAATGCAGTCAGAGACCATCCTCGGAATGGCAGGCCAGGCGTAACCAATAATCGACAAGACAACTGGATTCGAACAACACACCTCGATTCCAGCCAGCAACAGTGACTGCAAGAAACATCCCTGGCCTTCGACGAATATCTTCACAAACCGTGCGTCGCCGCCTCAGATGTGCAGGGATTGTCGCCAGAAGACCCGCCAGACGTCCCATTTTGACAAAAAAACACCGTCAAGCACGTCTACAGTGGTGCAGACAGCGTCTACGCTGGACGGTCGTACAGTGGGGACAAGTTCTATTCACTGACGAGTCTCGTTTTCACCTCAGCCACCGCGATGGACGGATTCGAGTGTACAAACGTCGAGGTGAAAGTTACGTCAATAATTGTCATCGGCCGTGTTGTTCTACCGTTTTTGCGTCGTCATGGCCCAGGCATTACCTTTCAACATGACAACGCCTGGCCTCATATTGATCGACTTGTTCAGGATTCTCTTCAACAAAACAACGTGAATGTCATCCCCTTGCCGGCTCGCTCCCCTGATCTATCACCAATCGAGCACAAGTGGGATGAGATGGATCGGCGCCTTCGACGTCAACTACGTGTTCCACAGACACTCCAGGAACTTCGAGATATGCTCCAGCAGATATGGACAGATAACCCACAGGACTTTGTGCGACGCCTGGTCCATTCCATGAGACGAAGATGTGTTGCTTGCATCGCAACCAGAGGTGGATATACACGCTATTGATTTTGTAAATTGACATTTTGGCATGTTCATGGTTTTTTTTAATGAAATCACGCATTTTCTGAAGTCAATATGACAAATTAAATCATTTGAACACTTACAGGAGTCTTTTATCTGTTGCAAACCGAAATTGTTTCAGATTTGGGAAAAAACATAACTTTGCATTAAATCTTATTCAATGTCACAGGATTTTTTGTTGTACAGTATATAAAAATCATGGCACATAGCATCATGTGCCTATCTGAGCATGTTTGGGCTTGCAGGAATCCATAGCCAAGCTATCAGGCTATAGCAGGCTTTGAGGACTTCATAGCTGATCAGATATATATTTACAGGAATCAAATTCATGCCATTTTCAATACATTTCAACGATAGGTCTAATCTATGATATCAATACTGGTATTCAGAGACCTAATTTTATAAATACGTGATTTTATTCTCAATAAAATCCTTCCATCTTTAAGAACAAAACATAAATTGACCATTTGTTGACCCTCAGAGCTGATGTCCAATGCTCTTCTGCCTCCTATGTTTCATTATGCACACTGGGATTACAGAGGGTCAACTTTGTGGGGTGGGGTGAGGGTGTGTCTGGCGGGCCTTATGCAGAAGAGGATTTGTCTGGCAATGGGTATTTTGTAATAAGTAGAGTGTAATAGTTCATTTTCTGTTGGTCCAATGTGATACCTCCAATGTTTAAGCCTTATGCAGAGGGTGATTGTCTGGTGTGGCCCATTCTGTACTCTGATAAGAACCTGTTCATTTAAACTTACCTTAATGTGGTACAATCGATATATATTCCAGCCCAATTTAACCCGTGTATACCTAAAGGGTCGTTTGACCAAAGTGTTCTGGGCTGCCGGTCTATTGGTAACCACTGTTCCATGCGTATAAAGAATTTGGAAATAAAGAAAAGGAATACTTCAAATTTGGTTCACGCAATTTCATCAAAAACATGGCCATGGGTGTTTGTTTCATGCAAGACAGATCATGCGTTTGTTTTATGTTGGTTTCAAATTAAGTTGGCGATTATTGTATTCCCTCAAGTAAATACAAAACGCAAAAGAATAGCAAGTCTTGATTAAACGCCGAAATAGCCTCAATTGGGCGCAAAGGGCAAAATATATAGTCGAGAAACTTATATGAATCGAAAGTCAGTGATGACACCAGGTGTTCGCAGAAACAGTAAGAATGCCCTGCCCTACCGGTAGAACCCCCCACTCATACAATTTGCATAAAAAGTAAGTGTTGTCTGACGTAGTATTCCTGCAATAAGGTAGGTGAGGTGAAATGGGGTTTAACGTCGCGTCCAAGATTATTGCACTTATATAGCGACGTGCATGTACGTGTGTGTGTTTGTGTGGCTGCTTGTACTAGTCCGGACTGATGCCGATTTATAGTGCTAGCTCACTGAGATACCATGCCGCGCCAAACAGGGTAACAACAAGTACCATCTTTTAACGTCTTTTGGTATGACGCGGTCGGGGATCGAACCCCGGACCTTCCGCTCTCCGGGCGGACGCACTACCTCGAGACAACGGAGTCTGATAAGACAAAAGATTCAAACAACCCAAACCGTTATTATACGCCACACTTAACCATTTGTAGTGTATTCTAAAATTGTATTTAGATCTCAAATCTGAAATCGGAACGTAGATTCTTGTGATAGTTAGTGAGTGAGTGAGTTGGGTTTTACGCGGCTTTTAACAGTATTCCAGTTATATCACGGCGTGTCAGCTTAATGTGGGAGGAAAGCTCGAAGTGATGCAGGTCTAAGACGTTTACCACTTCGGTGTAACCCATGAGCACGGGTATGGTGCTGACAAACATAGAAACGTAATCGGGGCGAACCGGGATTCGAACCCACAATCAAAGGTTTCTGGCGTGCCGAAGGGACGCAACTCTGCACAGCGATTCGCGGCGCCTTAGACGACTGGGCCACCCGTGTACCCTCTTGTGATAGAGACATTACAATTAAAAGAAATGGTACTATAAAATACCCAAACAATACGTTCACAATCATTAATCTACATTAAAACTACAAGAAAGTCTGACTTACAAAAGTATTTTAAAAAACGATGTGTTAAAAGTAGTTGACACTGCGTGAGACGATGAAGTAAAATAGTGATGAAAAGAGCTGTAACCTACCTTTGTGTGTTGTTTCCTCGACAAGAACATCTGCCAACAATATTAGACTATCTGACTTTAACTATGTATATATACACACTCCATAGGACCACGTGATTACGCATGAGTCAAGACTGTGTAATTGGCCACCATGGCCTGTTTCAAAACCAAACATAGCGAGTCCCTATTCGTTCACAGGAACAATAATCCATGTGACACCTTTGAACTTTTGCCGCGCTATGATACCCAATTATAACAAATTAGTATTATTAAAGACTGGAATACACACATTGATTGAATTAATTGATGTACTGATACACATTTTGTGCATGGAAAAAGGTTAACGCATGTTTTTTTATTGCTATTAATATTTGTGCCATAGCTCTAAGCTGAAGGTGCACGTCTTCAATGAGCAAATATGTTTTATTTGACCCAGAAAAATGTTCCTTAACCCTCTTGGCGCCTGGCCATCAGATTGACTTCAGTTGCGTTCCGCTCAGTGCCGCACTGTGATGACGTCGCGGTTTCAAAAACGTATGCATTGCATCAAAAGTGTTACAACGTTCTTATTTCTTCACCCAGTGTAACCAAATTGTATAACATGCAACTCAAGTTGATTGTTGGTTGGTTGGTTGGTTTGTTGTTTTACGCCGCACTCAGCAATATTCCAGCTATATGACGGCGGTCTGTAAATAATCGAGTCTGGACCAGACAATCCAGTTATTGATATCATGATCATCGATCCGCTTAATTGGGGTCGATGACATGCATCAACCAAGTCAGCGAGCCTGACCTCCCGATCCCGTTAGTCGCCTCTTACGACAAGCATAGTCGCCTTTTACGGCAAGCAGGGTTGCTGAAGACCTATTCTACCCCGGATCTTCACGGGTCGAGTTAATTGTGTTTCCAACAGAATCTAAAGTCAAAATATCCGAAAGATCTATTCAGAGCCTAGCCATCGATAAAAGTACTGGCATTGTAAGTTTCCCACATTGCTACATTAATATCGTGATGTGAAAGCATGTGACTATGGCAAGTAAAGTTCAGTAAGCGCCCTTGTTTGAAATCTAAATGTCCCATAGTTCATATCGTTGGAAAGTACATATCCTAACGGTGACAGACATATGACATTTTTGTCGAATTACACATTCATTGAGAAGTTTCCGTGATTTATATTTACCGATAAAAAATCCCGAAGAAATTGTCAGTGTTTTTGACGTCAAAACAACATTGACAGAAGTGATTAGATCATACGCAGTCCGTTTCAAAGATTATTTTTCAAAACGAATGGCAGTTTGGAATGTATACCTTGAAGAAATCCCGTTTACGTCCATGAAGGTTTCAGTGTCAATGCCCTTTCGTAAGTGATAAGACATCTTCGGGGTAATTGACATAAAAATTCAAAGGACAAAATGTGAAAGATCGCTAAACAGCACTAACAATACTCAAATTGACATCGCTCAAAATCGGACATCATTATTATTTCTTTATAATTAACAAGATTATACTAACGTACAGCCACCCAAAGGGAACTACACGTAGATTCAATCAAAATCGTTGAAATGTTTTCCTGGCCAGCAAATCCATTCAAAAAAACTCGGGCGCCATATGTCATAAAACCATTGCTTCGTTGTGCACACACACAGACCGCTTATTTATACTAATGCTATGATGTGTTATTGATGTTTTAAACCTAATTTATAAAAAGCTTGAAACTAGATGGAATTGGACATATTTAATACTTGAATTTGAAAGCTCAAGAAGCGAAGAGTAGGCTTTATCTAATACAACAACTTGCACAGGTTTGTTTGTTGTTTAACGCCGCACTCATTTATATTCCAGCTATATGACGACGGTCTGTAAATAATCGAGTCTGGACAAGACAATAATGTGACTGATATCATGAGCATCGATCCACGCAATTGGGATACGATGACATGCATCAACCAAGTCAGCGAACCTGACCTCTCGATCCCGTTAGTCGCCTCTTACGACAAGCATGGGATCCTGAAGACAAATTGGCTGTTTGATATTATAATAGTTACGTGTATGTGACATGGGTGCATAATACCAAAAAACACGCCGTCACTCGCAGCAGTTCAATATGGCAGAAAGAGGTCGAGAAGGGCGGTAACCACTTTACTAATCTCGCCATATTTCGCAATCCGTAGCACTGTATAAATATGAGCACACGAAATTAAAGCTGAAATGATTAGGGTGATGATGGTTATAATTTTGTGCGCACTTAGTGTTTGACATCTTTATTTACAGTTGAAAAGAGACATTTTCACAGGACCATATATGGTCCGTGGCACTAAGAAGGTGTGAAAAGTGAGGGACCATATACGGTCCCGTGGCACCAAGAGGGTTGATTAAGCGTAAACTCATCAGAAAATTATTAATATTTTTTTTAAAGGTGACTAAGTGCATGTGAACCGTGTGGGGGAGTGGAGTACACGATGAAATGAGACTGATGACGAGGATTTAGCATTACTGAAGACCCATTTGAGGAACAGTTATATTTATATTTGAAACTTTTATCATGAAAACAGCAGTGGAACAGAATTCAATTATCCCTGTCTACAAAGACTCTCCGTCAGTGATGGTAAATGTTTGTTAAATGTCGTCCTTTACATCATGAATGTGGTATTGCTTCCCTGTGCAACCTTCTTTACAGCCGAGAAAACTTTTTAAATTTAAATATTTCATTCTTTGAACTGTAACTTAATTCTCCTTATTGTTGTACAGGGAAGAGGAACGTACACACCTGAGGTCTGCAGGTGCAATATGATGGCAAATATGATAACGTCATAGAAAGAGCCTAAATACACCGTGAAACACAAGTATACGTCACGTCAACCAACAGAAGGCACAGGCGACGTGTGACAAGAAGGGGGGACATGACGATGGAGGAACTATCAAGTAGACATGAGAACGTGACTTAATGTGTTCTTCTGGTTTAACGTTCGCCAAACATACACTAGCGCTGTTTCATTGAGCTTTCAGTGTCATGGTGTATGGTCTGACCTGGCACAAATATACAGCACATGCACATACACACACATGCACATACATACACACACGCACACACACACACGCGCACACACACACACACACACACACACACACACACACACACACACACACACACACACACACACACACACACACACACACATGAAGGCATACATATACATACACACGCACGCATACACGCTAAAACAGATACACAAACGCTAGCACACACATACACTGAGGGCACGTGCGCTGACACACACACACACATGAAGGCACACACATACATACATTCGCACCCACACACGCTAAAACAGATACACAAACGCTAGCACACACATCCACATACACTGACAGGCACGCGCGCTGACACACACACACACACACACACACACACACACACACACACACACACATACGTTCATTCAGGCACACACACGCACATGCATACATACACACATACAGGCACGCCCATATAAACTCTGAATTGTTTGAAAGGCATTGTAGATAAGTTGACGGATGACAAAGTAGACGTTTCGGTATGGATCCTTATACCGTTGTCAGCACATGTCATGGTGCAGTCTTGCCTGACAATGGTATAAGGATCTATACCGAAACGTCGCCTTTACAGTATTAAAGAAGTTGTTATCCATACATTGTGTCTACTTTCACATGTATGCTCAAATACAACCTGCACCTCACTCTCAACCTCGCTATTGGGACCAGGTGACAGTATCCCCAGCACTCTCCTGCTTGTCGAGGCGACTAAGTGGACCTGGTGGTCAGGTACGGTGTTGTGGTCAACGTGAAATTTACATTTTACACTGCTGCGTTGAAAAGGTTAATGGATGGGGTGAAACAACGGGTCGCTTGTGCGCGATTGAAAAAACTTGCCCACTTGCATAAAGTTTTTATTGGCGATCGCCACTCCCATACTTTAACGGAATTTACAACACGTCGACCTTTTGTCCAAAATAATTCGCACGAAGCCCACGCGTGGTATCCTTTTTGCGCGCGTTTGTGTGTGTGTGTGTTTTCCCTAACGTTTTTCGTGTAAGATAGGGTAACCGGTGTCTAAAGTAGAAAAATATAATAATGTTTGTTACGTTAACCAACTTGATATAATTAACAAACTTATTTCTTAAAAAACTTGTATGAGAGGTGTGTGTTTTGTGTGTGTGTGTGTGTTTTTGTGTTATTTTGTGTGTGTTATATTGTGTGTGTGTTATATTGTGTGTGTGTGTGTGTGTGTGTGTGTGTGTGTGTGTGTGTGTGTGTGTGTGTGTGTGTGTGTGTGTGTGTGTGTGTGTGTGTGTGTGTGTGTGTTGTTTTGTTGTTTTTTGTTTTGTTTATGTGAGTGATTTTGGGGGAAGGGGAGCATCTAGTGATAAACTCAAATAAATTAGTGTCAAATTGTCATATGCTACAACTATCACTACCAATACTGCTACTGTATATAGAGACTCAACTTGCCAGTATGTTTTTACGCATGTGAAATATACACTACACGATAAAGTATTCGTTATACTGAGCAGGTTTCTGGGCATTTCCAAATGTAAACATGAACATACACTCAAAAGAAATCTCTGCTATAAGCAGAGACGATAGTTCCATTCCGAGTATATCATGAGCATGTGTTTATGAATCACTGTCAAAGAGTGATATCGATGATACCAGGAACGTTTCAAGGAGTGAAAATTCACAAGAACTCCGATATGCTCTCCCTTTGGCAAAACTGTTATGCTGGTGCCATCGCGGAAACACGACCTGACGAAATATCACCCTTGAATACATTCTGCGTTTCAAAAGGTAGCGTTTTCATGATGGTAATAATGTATTTTCATTTAAATGTTAAATTGTTCGTCCTTTGTGAATAGATCCTTAGTTTATTCTATGTCTGTCATCCAAGAGAGTCAGAGAGTCTCACCCATGACAGACAAACCAAGAGTGAGTGTGTTCAGTTTAAGGCCGCTTTTAACAGTATTACAGTTATATCACATCGTGTCAGCTTAATGTGGGAGGAAAGCCCGAAGTGATGCAGGTCTCAGACGTTTACCACTTCGGTGAAACCCACGAGCACGGGTATGGTGCTGACAAACCTAGAAACATTATCGGGGTGAACATGGATTCGAACCCACAAT